CTCATTGGTCCGCCATTAGAACTCCAATGTGACCTCTATTCATTTTACAGTATTTCCCTTAACTCGTTGGATTCCCTTAAACGGTTACCACAGATGTCGTCGATCTGAAAAAGTACCGCCTTTTATTATAGACTAATATTATAATGTGAATATTTATCCTTCATTGTTCTCATAGACGAGAGTAAGAAAAGTGCAGAGATATATAAAATGAAATGAATAGACATTACACGTTAGTTAGATATGGATGCTTCAAATGATAGCTCTCTTAATATACTCGATTTGCCCAATGAAATATTACTCATAATTTTCAACAAACTAAATACGGTCGATAATCTCTATTCGCTTGTTGATGTTAATCAACGATTTGATGAATTAGTACTTGATATGCTTGATATTCGCAATCTTGATATAGCCAGCATGATCATTAAATCATACTATGATTGCAACTTTTCAATAGATTATGAAATTTTGGATAAAATATGTGAAAAAATCTTACCTCGAATCCATCATAGATTAAATGAACTCACTATTGAACAATATGCAATGGAACGAACGTGTTCTTTTTACTGTTGATTATCCTCAACTCTATTCTTTATCATTTATTAATTTTCATGAAGACATATTTTTTCAATATTTGACAGGTATATTATTCATTGTTAATTTTATTCTTTTAATAGACAAAATAATGATAAAAATGAAATATTATCAACATTTCTTATTTTTATATTGAAGGTCACTCAATTCTTCAGGATCTTCTTACTCGACAAATTATTCATCTTAGTATCGATATTCTGAATGAACCAATATCAAAACCATCTGAAACTCTATCAAATATATTTGTTTTGATTTTATGTTTATGTAAACGATTAATTAGTTTGAATTTTTGCCAATTATTTTATGATCGGAAAGTACCAATTCGCCTTTATGACCGATCATCAACAAGTTGCATATCTTCAACTTTAACGAAGTTAAAAATTAGTGTTACAATTTTTGCTGATTGTCTTTATCTTCTTGATGGACGTCTTGACTGTTTAACAACATTGATCATTGACGTGAAAGAAATTTGTCGTGAATTATCAAACGAAGTTAACGTGGTAAATATTATTTCAATCATTACATTATTAATGATTAAATAAAATGATATACTTTTATTTTATAGAAAGAACTTCCTAAATTGAAATGTTTTTCATTGACTTCAGTTGAATGCACATTTAAGTATGATGATCAAATTATTCCATTACTTCGTCGAATGACAAATCTTGAAGAATTAATGTTATTTTTGATAGTATTAAGAAAGCATTCTACTTTTATTGATGGTATTCTATTACATGCTCAAATTCTTATTTATATGCAACGACTAAACAAATTTAGTTTCAGTATCATCAGTGATGTTCTGAACATGAATATTAGAATTATTCTTCCAACAAATGAAGACATTCGACGTAGTTTCATGGAAAAAGAATATAATCAAGTTGATTCATATGTTCATACTAGAGCCATGGACAGCGTTGGTAGATGTCATATTTATTCACTTCCATATCAATTCGAAAATTTCCTTTATCTCAACAACTCTTTTCAAGGTGGAAAGTTTGATAAAGTTCGATGCTTGGAAATGAATGATTCACGTCCTTTTGAATATGATTTTTTCAAGCGTATCTCTGAAGATTTTCCTTTTCTCAAAGAGTTACGTATATGGAATATTCAACCACAAAAAGAAAAGCAACATTTGACAACATTAATTGTATTTCCTCATCTTATGCTTCTCAATTTGGTCAAAGCACATGTGGACTATGCTGAGCAACTTCTGTTCCATAAAAACACTTATTTACCTTGCTTGTTGGATCTTTGCATCAATTACAAATCACTTGCTATGGTAACGAACAATTTTACCAATGATGCCGCACGTTTTACTTGCGCCAAATTAAAAAGACTTCGTATAGATTATGCATTTGTTCGACCATCAAATTTTAATCAGTATTTTCCTTTATTATAACTAAAGCTTTTGTTAAAAATTTTTGAATAAAAGAAATTTGTTTATGATAGTTAAATATATACTTGGATAACACTAGTAATCTAATATCAAACAACTGTAGCAAGAATAACAATATTTATTCCTTTACATTATATTTCTGTTTCGGTAAACTAGGTCTTCTGCTATAGTCATATATATATATATTTTGACATGTTACTGGAAAAATTTCATTGAAAGTGATAACTTTGAATTGTATTTATATGAGTCTTATTTTTTGGACAAAAAAGGTTTACGATGAAATGTATTATTTACAAAAAAACTTATCAGATTAAGTTTGATAAATAGTGAAGTTATAGACTAATTTTTCGTATCGACCTTTAGAGCATTGTATATTCATGATCATCATTCTGACAATCATGCTTTAATTATTTTTTGGCTATGTATTTTATAAAGTGTGACTAATCATATTGTATCAAAAAATATTACCAATAGTTCTGCCTATTGAATTTTAAAATGTATAGAAAGTCTATCAAGATTGAAAGATGTTTCATGCATGAATTTTAGCGTAGGTTTCTATGAAAACTCATGAAAATAGACGAAGAAAACGATGTTCGTTCTAAACATAAGTTTGGATTTATTTGATCACAAGCTACATTTTGACGATCACAATGTAAACATTTATAATTTTCACTCTATATGTATCATATACTGAAGATAGTAAATGTCTAACAATTTTTTTTTCGCTCGTTCTGTAATTTTGCCGTTAAACTATATATATGAGAGTGAAACTGATGATCGTCATTATCGTGTTTATCATAGAACTATCATCTTATACCAATGTCCTTGTTACAATTGTGTCGAGCGATACAGACGTGTAAACACGATGTAAGTTAAAGACAAAATATTTATATAGTTTTTAAAAATAATGATGATTTAGATAAATCTACTTCGTGGTCTGAAAGAACAAGTCGAACTTGACTTGAATCATGCTGAACGAACTTACCTAAATGCTGTAATAATGAGTTCATGGGGAATTTGAATTTGCGGCAAATTCAAAATGCTTATACCGCTATAGCGGTATAGTGGTATAGCGGTATAAGTATCCTTATACCGCTTTATCTCTATAGCTTCTTTAAAGAAAAAGAAATCTCCTACCGAAGGGTACAGCCACCTTAAGAGTAGCCCTTCAAAGATACCACCTTCAGGGTACCTTTTCAAGGGCACCCTCAAGGGTACCCTCCTCACCCTCACTTTGTTGTCCCTCAAGGGTACCAGCAAGGGTACTTTCCTCACCCTCACTTTGTTCTCTCTCAAGGGTACCCCCCCCAAGGGTACCCTCCTCACCCTCACTTTGTTGTCCCCCAAGGGTACCTTCCTCATCCTCAAGATGCTTCTCTCCCTCTATA